TTTCTCAACTCTATCTTCACTAAGAGCTTTGGATGTGTCGTCCAAAGTTTTTGAAATACCAGAATGGACTTGAACAATGTTCCTAGAGCTTTTGGTTTCCCGGTTATCACCTCTCTGTGAGAGGGTACAATTGCCTTGCGATGCAACACCTTTCTCTTTGAATGTTGGATTTCCTTCCTCTCTCAAACCGGCAATAAGCAACTCTTGGAACTCATCTTCAGTGTGAATACCCGATCTTTTGGATCTTTCCCTCGAGTTATCTCCAGCCGGACTCCATGACTTTGTTGGATCAACCTGTGGCTCTAATGGTCGATTGTGATCGACAACAGTTCCAGTCAATGCGATGTTGCGAATATTCTCGTCGCTGGCTATTTCTGTAATTTCTGACGTATCATCCACAGTTTCCGGAATGATAAATTGTGTAACAGACTCATTAAATGTCACCGATTGCTTTCGATGTGGCCTTTTAGAGGAGCTGAGATTGCTTCGGGAACAAGGTTTGTACGGTAAGATCTCCGTTGATGAGCACGGTGTAGTCTGCCCTGTCAAATTCTCCAATGAAATTTGGGCGCTATCATTCAATTGATGGGGATTCTGCGTGGATTTTTCCGAATCATTCTGTATATAGGACTGTGTCCGTTCCGCTGGTAGAATCCCTGGTGAAACTTTCTCGGTGATAGTGGGAGGTTCGTTAACACCAATGGGTATCAATTCAGATCTGTTCTTCCTGGTTTGCTTCGAAAACGCAGGCTCAATGAGCGCTCGACGGGCTATTGGGGGTGCTCGGCCAATCTTTGGATCATTCACTTGTTCTCTGCCTTCTAGCCGTAGTCTCTGTTCGGTTGCTTTTCTAAGCTCATGCTGAAGTTGCGCCTGTTCGACGTGCTTGTCACGTTCTTCCTGCGTTTGTGCGAGGACTTGAAACTCGCCGCCCAAGCTTGGCCCCGCCTTGTTTAGCTCGATATTTCCATTCAGCTTTCTTGCTGGCGCAATTGGTGGAATGTATCTTTCTGGCGCTGGCGTAGATTGATCAGTTCTATAACGGAGTTTCGGAGTTGCAACTGGTTGGCTTCGATCAATTGGTTTGTGGATAATTTTCTTTTTAGGTTTGAACAATCGTTTGAGCTTGGCCTTCAAGGGATCTTTATTCCGGATCTTGTTGTTCAAACCTTTAGGAAGGTATGCGAAATTTGGATCGGCGTTTTTGTTTTTCCTCCGCGCTGCTTTCACTGCTTTTTTTCGTGCTGCCTTTTCCTCCCGGGTTGGCCCAGAAGAACCTTCAATTGTGGTACCAGAGACTGAGGAAGATTCAAGAGAAACGACTGTGGACGCTTTCGAGCGCGTTGACTTCAAAGAAAGCGCTTTGATTGTGGAAGCAATCGTAGTTGTTGACGAATTCGCCTCGGAAACATTTGCAATTTCATCCTCGTTTGTCTCTCTTTTTGAAGCGCTCGATCTGGGATTTGAAGTGCTGGCTCTGATTGCACCTCTTCCGTAGCCAGAGTGTCTTATTTGAGAGCGCCTTGCAAGCGAAGGTTTCCGCTCAATTGGTTTCCGAGGCGCCATTGGCGCGATCGCTGTAGCAGGATGGACCTTGAGATTGTCGCATGTATAAGGTAACTGATTGAGATTTTGGCAGAGATTCTAAAGCCGGCGAGCTGAGATGAAATTTGGTATAGGAGGAAAGGCTCTATTGCGTGGGTAGATGATTGACTAGTTCAGCATGGAACGATATAAAATGATTAACCAAATGAAATCAAGATGGAAGCGACTGGTTGAGGAGATATCTGTACAGGATTGAAGCGCAATGTTGAAAGTACCTAGGGTCAATGCGACTTGCTCCCCATATTTTCATCTTAGCCTTGGTCGAGTTCGGATGGTAGTAAACAATGGAAGTTCCCGGCATTAGAATATCTTCCTTCCTGCAGTCCTAGAGCAACCATCAATACTTTCACAAAACAGTTTCTCAACCCATCTTGAATTTCTTTTTATCTACAGAGAATAAGTAGTATTTGGCCCTTCTTTTCCAACTTTTCCAGGATATATGGGACTTCTGGGGGTCAAAATATTTCCTTGCTAGTTCCTCATGATCTGCTCAGCCTTATGACACTTGGCTGCTCCCCTAGCAGAATGACCCGACCAAAAGCGAGTCTAGACTCCCCGCCTCAGGCATAGACAGACAGGGGTCCGAGCAAGGTAATATAGCGCACAATCAATATTCAATATTATTATTAAATTTGACCTTCTCGAGATGGTGATTGGGGTATTACCCGAGCAGAGTTTTCCAAGTGTCTCAAGAATCATAACAAAGACGTGATCCTGTTGCTGTGGCTGCTGTAATATCCCTCCTCCGAAATCGCAATTGATAATAGAAATTGAACAACAACTTTTTTAACAAACGTCTTTAAACAAGTCTTCTACTCTGTCTATCTTGTCAGTAACACTTAATGTCTCTATTCTTTGAAGTCTTACCTTTTCTTCCAAGGAATGCCTGCTGTCTAAGACATTGCAAAGACCATGCAGATCTGCGACAACCAGCTTGCAAAGTAGCCAAACCCAAGACCAACACCGTTACCTGTAAGTATTTCTTTTATTATCCCATCATCCCCTTCTCCTTTGACCTGCTTCTCAACTGCAAAGACATTCTGTTCTCATTGTTGTGGTTGACTTGTAAGTCGTTGTCCAAGTTCCTCAACAGAAGCTGTTTGAGCTGCTTTGTTATACATTCACCTCAACCCTTTCTCTCACAGGAACCTTCTTCACCATTCTAAGTATCAGATGAGCAACAGTCTGTTGTAGTTGTTAATCTCCACTTTTTACTGTCAAGTGAGATATGATTGTCGTCAAATCTGATGTTGTGCTGATTTCTTATCTTCTCCCTTTCTACTCAAGTCATACTCAACCTTACTCAACTTCTGTGGCACTAATGACGGCAAGCATATTCTAGGTCACTTTCCTCTTCATAAAAAGATAATCTGTTGCTCATGACGATAGCCGCGGGTCGGTCATACTTGTAAGACCTCAGATCGTGGTAAGTTCCCTTTCAAGTTAAGTCAACTACCCCACTTTCCGACCACCCCCTCTTTTCAACCATCTTGAAAACCACACTACTTTGAGTAATTATAAAATTTACATTTTGAATAACTTAATAATACTTTAATTAATTAATTTGAAATTTTGATATTATTATAATTGTAATATAAAGAATAAATATATCAAAAAAGATATTATAAAGGTTCTTAAAGCAATTATAAATAAAATAAGTATATAAAAAATTAGCTTGAATTATAATATTTTATATATTATATTTTACAATTGAATATATAATAAAGTTTCATATTAAAAAGATGCTTAAATACTTTAAAAGTTATTTCCAATTTAGAAGAATCAATTAGTAGAATAAATATTAGTATAGAAAGCTTTTAATATTAATTTTATATATTATTAAATTAGAGAGATAGTAGAGTATCTTCTTATTATATGAGGAGAGGATTCCTTATTTAAAAAGAAATAAATATATAGCTTTTTTTGAAAATATTCTAATATTGGAATTAAGAAGTAATATCAAATTAATTCTATATAAATTTTAGGTACTATATCTAATATTATTAAGAAGTGGTTTTAGAATTTTGTAATTTTTAAAATCAAGGTTATTAAGCTGGTCAATAAATGGAATATGAATAAAGTAGGTATAATAGAGGGTTAGGGTTTTAATAAATTAATAGTAGGAAGTATTAATTAAAGATTTATTTAAAAAAAGCAATCTAAATCTCGAATTTGAATTTCTTTTATAGAATGTATTTCAATTAATAAAAAAAGCATTATTTCTTTTATAATATATAAGGGAAAATTAGTTTAATAATAATGGTTTCCAATCAATTTAATTCTATTTAAGGGTTAGAATTTTATTATTATAGAAAATGAATAGACTATAGATACTATAGCTTTAAAATAATTGAAAAAGATCTATATCCCTCAAACTACCCCTATTCAATCAGAAAATTCAAAACTTTTTATTTTGAATGGATATAGAAGTTATAAAATTATAATATTTATATTAAAATACTTCAATAATAACATATATCTTTTATTTCTTTTATCACATATATTATATATATTATAATCATTCAATTTATTTATATTTTTATTTCTAAAAAGTATATATTAAATCGAACTTAATAAATTAAGTCTATTATTCAATTCCTTACTAATTGAAAAGTGCAATTTCCTTTTTTGCTATCAGAAGACTAGAATAGAAGATTTAACTATTCAAAATATCAAGTCTGAATAGCAAACTAATAATCTTTAATCTAAAAATATAATTAAACCTCTTATGAATTGACTTTTGCTTAAAAATAGTAATAAAAAGGTTTTATTATTTAATCCTGAATTTAATAATAATTTTATTCTTTAATAAAATATATATTTATTATTTATTTAATAGAAAACCCCTTAAAAAGAAGCTGATATCAGAAAATATAAAGATATAATAATTCAAGAGAAAGAAATCGATTTGTCAATACAAAGATTACTATTTTATAAGATTATAAAAGAATTTGATACTAAGGATTATAAACTCTTAGAAATAGAAAATAAAATTAGAAAGCTAAAATATCAATTAGATAAAATATTATCTAGAAAAAAACAAAAGGTTATAATATCTCTAAATTCGAAGTTTGTAGGGATTAGAACTATAAGGCATATACAAATTAAAATGGGAGATTATAAAATTGAAGGAAATAATAGCTTTAATATTATAGAAAGTGATTTTATAAACGATTTTATTAAAGTTCAATAGTTATTGAGTTATTAAAGTTTTAAGTGTAGATAATATGATTTTTTTAGGTGGTTGGAAACAGGGGGTGGTCGGAAAGTGGGGTAGTTGACTTATTTCTTATGGCAACTGCTAACACAACTCGCAGAAGCATTTCCAGTCGATTTAATCACTTCGATGTTCTTGCCGCCAGCCGCTGTGTCGGTAAAGCTCGCAAGATATTATCATGTGGTATTTATTACTATTCAAGTTTCATCATTTCGATAGCTTTTAACATGACTTACAGTAGATCGTATGGTCACGAAGACCTTGCTTTCTTGTTGTTAGCTGCTGGTCAGCGAAGCTTGCAGAATACTGAAACTTGGTAAGTTCTTCCATCAAGTTGTGACTGATCGCAGTTGCTAACATCACTTGCAGTTTCTCTCCTGGCACGAGTACCACATCGATAAGGCTTTGGCTTATGGTCTGTCTGCTCTTGTCAAAAGCTACGCTGCAGGTCTTCAGGAACTTGAACTTCAAGGACAATAATCCTTTCTGGACTTAGACAGCATCTGCAATCACAATGCATGGTTTCTCTACTGCGACCCTCGCCACTTTATATCGAAATTTCTCCCACCGTTAAAGTCTTCGATCTTCATCCTCATGCTCATCATAGCAAATCAAGGTCTTTCAGGCCTATTTGCTGTTTGATGGACAAGGCTGAGATTTTACAAGTGGTGGTGATATCAATGACGTTCCAGCAAGGGAAAAACAAGTACGGACGGCTACACATTCACTACATTGTTCTCACACTGCCAACACCTGCATACCAGCAGTACTCGCTATCTTACAGGTCCTTTCCTTCTAAAGGAATGTATAGAGACTCATGTTACACCTTTCGTTTCTATACCTGCTTCCAATCTTGCAAAGTATCGTGGCATATAGGGGCATTTATAATGTTCCTAGGATCAACTGGCAAATCACGGATTCGTTATTGTTGGTCCTTGACCCCATCTCTGGGATGTCATGGCCGCTGCTCCTTCCTCTTCGCCGAGGAGGGAGACCAACAGCGTGCCCTCACTGAAATGCAGGGTGTTTACTGCGGTAACAGACCCATGCGGATTAGCACTGCTACACCAAAGAACAAGGTGGTTTCCTCTTTCTTTCTTTCCAGCACCTGGTCCATGTTTAACCTTGCTGGGTGGATATCACCCCACTCAATGGTCATTTTTAGGTGATCTGATGAAGCATTTACTCTGCGGAGTCGACGAGCAGCATCAACCAGATGCAAGGCTATGCTGCTTGCAGCTCCAACTGCTCCAACTAAGTGGAGAGAATTCTCCTCTTTCCAGCACCTGGGCCACGCTATTGAAATGACTATTAACCAAATGCATGGTTGTTCTGTCCGGGCCTCTCCAACCTAGCAAGCTCCGATGCCATTACTCCTCAGACAAGGACGACCGTTTCCGAATACCTTTTCAAACGGGCTGCTGTGTCGTGGTCTCAGACACAGTAGAGAGAGCTGGGTAACTTGTTACAAGACAAGGGCAGGGGATTTCCTCCCTTGTCTTCCAGCAACAACAAGCTTAAGTTGTTCCTGCTCCTACTTTTGCTTTCGTCTTGTGCCTTCATGCCATAGTCGACTTCAGGAGGGACGGGGAGGTATGCACTCCACGATAAGTGCGTGTCTCCCGCAAAGTGCTATGCACTCCCCCACATGTGTGGTCTCTCCTGGAGTCGACTTATTGCAATGATCATCACTACGCTACTTGGGGACCCATGATGATTTGGCACGAGTGCAGTCCGGGATGACGTTAAACTATAACTGTGTTAGAGTCGGTGCTTTCAAGCAATAGGCCTGGCTGGTAGCGGAAACCACCTCTTTCGTTTGTTTTGGGGACGATCCCAGAACAACTCTGGACCATCTTCTCCCCGCCGTAGCCACAAGCATAAAGATAGTAAAGACATCAACAAAGCATGGTTCCTGTGGTTTCTGCTCCCGAAAATGAGCTACAGCGTCAAGATGATCCGTGACAAGACCGTCGGTCGAGTCTCGCCAGATGAGAACGATTTAGTTGCCACTTGTCAATAATCAGAAAGGCCTTTACCCTTTGTATCTCCAAAGCGGCGCAAACTTAGCCAGAGAACTCATGTCCAGGCGCAGATAGCAAAGGGTAAAGGCAACGAAGTTTCGACGATGTCAAGTGAGTATTGAAATCCTTTCTCGTGTTGCAATTTATTGATTTGGATAGAACCGAGCATATTACATTGAACATCGCCGTCGATTGAGGACTCTAACAAATCAATAGGAACAAACCCATCATGTCCTCGTCCTCGAAAATCCCCAAAAGCCGCATCAGATGCTCTTCATGAAACTTCATATTCTTCTTTCTAAACAAAGACAGCGGTATGTCCAATTTTCCACGTACTCTATCCAATAACTTGCATTTCTTCATCCCAAAATGGACAAAGTTCTAACATTACCAGAAGTAGAGATCTTGCTTATGAACAGAGGGAAATGAACACATTCCAATAAGAAAGAACCGGAAGGAGCTGCATATAACTTCAATGAGCCAGATCGATAGCTAAATAATGAATATTGATCGTGTCAATACTCATCGGGTAGATATTTGTTTGCCTCATTGAAAGTATATTCAGATCCTTCTCACTCTTCCTCGTTGGAATGTGCTTGTCTCCTTCTTTAAAAAACAGCTCGTGAACGGGTACGGTCGATAGATGGCTTCTTAATTTTTTTGTCATTTGTTCGGAAATGGAGAGATGAGGACGAAACTAATTTCGCGGCCTTTGAACACGGCAAAGCAAAAAGAAAGGTTGGAGAAGTCAAATTGCAAAAGTGCAAAAGCTCAAGGCGGAATCTATGGTCTGCTGAGGACGGTCTTGTTTCTTTAGCTAGCCTTTTATAGTAATATACATCATTTCCTCTAGCCGCCCTCGGGCGTGCACCTTTTGACATGATTTTGTGGGTGATATCATATCTTGAGGTTGATAAGCGGGCGTTATTCCTGCTTTGTAAAGAAGATTGGGTTGGTATGTTATTTCTTCTGCTATCACCGATATATTTGAAATAGTTGCTAACATCTTTCGGACAGTCATTTTCAAGGAACTTAAAGGGGTAGATTTCTTTCTGAAGTCGGTGGATTGTAGTGTTGGGAACGCTGTCGAGTAGCACTGTTTCTGATTTGAGATCATGGATACTAGATTTTGAGAGAGGACCTGAAAGGTATGAATTCTCTGCGTACTTGGGAGGTCTCGATATTGTACTAATATGAAGATCAGTCACTTCATATGATGTTCTTAGAGCTCCACTCAAGGAGCCAGCAAAGCATCAAAGAAGCAGTCGACGCCAATCAAGATCGCTCACCATAGCAGCTCGTTCTAGTCAAACGAAGCGGCTACAGCGCTGGATACCAACACCAGCAGCAACCATCTGATGTCCAGATCGCCAATGGTGGTCTCAACAACTAAGCACCTTATGCTTATGTAACTATTCCTTCAAGCGGATTCTCAAGGGACGTCGAGAGCGCACCGGACCTGACAGATACTTCACGTTCTGTCAATCATTTAATCTCAGTCTTGAACGGACGAAGTCCCGGGTATTCTTTATCAGTGGCTCGTCCGTCTCTCGTCGATACTCATCAATACACCCACAATAAAAAAAGGCAAGACGATCTGATCGAGTTTTAAGAAACCCATCTTTCTCAGCTCCCAAAAGCAGCTTGCCACAAAATCCTTGGAGGCAACCCAAATTTTACCTTTTGCGGTCTCTGCCCTCAGTAGAGGTTTGCTGGACGCTACGAACAAAAATCTGGTTTCTGTACTCTTTCCAGCACGTGGGCCAAGATCATGACAGACCCTATGTGTGTGCTCTCTCTTCTCCTCGACTGAGCGATCAGCTGGTGGGGTTTTTAACGGCATTACAACGACAATCTATATGGTTAAGTGATTGAGCTTGCCTGAAGTCACGATGAACCATGTCGCAGCTTTTGCTGTTGCTGACAGGAGCTCCCCCACTTTCAAAGGGAATCGCAACGGGACCGAGATGTCGGTAAACTAAATCACACCACGGCGAACTGCAAGTCCCTCTCTGATCAACTGGGCAAATTTGAATTGTCGAAAAGTGACGCGGTACTACCAGGCAAATCAAAGCAAAACGTGCGACCAAATCAAATCAGTCCTCTGGCCCGAGCGAAACTTCCAACCGGATACACGTTCATTACTCCAAAGAGTATTTCAGGAAGTGGGACACGGTAACGACCAAATCAACCAATCTTCCGGCAATTCGCACTCTCTCACCGCAAAGCCAATACAGTCGGTCCGCTCTCGAGCGTCCCAAGCATGACAGCAAACTGCTGAGCTTCTTTTTCCAGCAAGTTCAAAAACTCCACCTTCGCAACCAATCTAAGTACGATCCCATTTCTTTTCTCGTTGCCGTGGCTCCACAATAAGCATGGGTATCGAGTTCCTTTCACCTCAATTTCCCCAGACCTGGAGACCTGCTGCGGTTATGAGTACGACCTGGCTTGAAGCCGTTTCTTCAAGAACCAAGCACCTTATGCCTAAATAACTATTCTCCTCGGGGCCTGGCTCCCCGAGAGAGCTTGGTGCTAGACTAGACCAAGGCAGTTTTGTCGAAGATCTGTGAAGATAATCGAAAATCTCTGTCATCGAAATCTGTAACGAGAGATATTACTACTTTCAATCCTCAATTACGAGACGAGGCGCTCCAATCATCAAGAAAGGATGCGTTCCTGCCGGGCGTGAAGTACTTTCACGAGTCTTCACATGACTCTTCCACAGCGGCTCGTAAGATAAAATGGCTGGCCACCATCTCCTTCGATTTCCCATCCATCCACCATGCGATTGGTAAATCATGAGTTTGAAGCATGTATCTCCGAATACCTTTTCAAATACGTGGTGGTATTTTCCTGGAGCTGCGCTCAAGAATCTTAGTTGCACTGCTTCCGAAGCCTGTCATTGGTGTATTGAATTCCCATCCACCTGGACGCTTCCACAAAAATGGCATGTTAAGAATGCAAAGAGTTGGGAATGGGACGGGACCCATCTGTCCTCGACCATAACACATTTGGTCTTTCCAAGACTTTGGAGAGATTATGGTGGTGTGGTGGCCGGGAAATATGCATGATAGGAGTAAAGGCGTAGGGGGGGGGGACTTGGAACAGAGTTTGGTTGGTGCAGAGGTGATGAGTTTTGCTGTTGTTCGGGGAAGGAGCGTGGTATTCCTTTAACTCTTGATAATGGAGTTACCGTTGACTTGGCATTTGAAAATGGCAGGATGATGTAATAGAAGCTTCAAAGTAGTTTTTCAATTAGAATACCAGACCATCGAACAACTTTAAAGAGCCCTAAATATGAAGTTACTCTAGTGAAAACAATGTGATTCGTCTAAATCAATCCATGGTAATGACGCAATATTAGAGACCCATGATCCTGTAACCGCACACGAAATCTTGGAGCTATCATTGATTTCTCTCAAATGAGAAGTCTGGTTGACGCGAAGTTTAATCTGCGTTGGAGATGATGTGAACTCAACATATCTCGTAGTCTATCGAGCTGACTAAGTTCAAGATCGCGGGAACATCCTCCCACTCCTCGCGGGTTTAGAGATCTTGACTTGAAAATAGTGATGTTAGTATCTCCTTGATCTCTCTTGACGGACAAGCATGAGGACGTGTACTTGGGAAGTATCCTTAAAGAACAGAAACAGTTTCTTCGCTCCGAGATCACAGCATGCAATCTCCGGATTGGGGAAGTTTCCAAGCTCAGAAGTCGATGTCGTAAAGCACAAGATCAGCCTGCGGATATGAGAATATTGCCAAGAGAATAAGCAATCTACACCTATATTCCGAAGAAGAGAACAGATATCGCCATCGGAAAGAATACGATCTCAACATAATGTGTTAGAAGAATAAAGATTAGCGACTAAAGACTCAGGATCCGAGCAACATCAAGGTTTAGATTAGGAAGGGGACTCAGAAACAAATAAATGAGGATACCCGTGGGATGAATCGAAACGCGGAATAAGAGATTAGGCAAGAAATCCAGATTCCATCATGGTAGCAACTCTGCGTGAGGGAAGAGACGGAGGAATAACTCGAGAGGAGTATGAGAGAAACGCTGTCAAGATTATACGAAAACGAGAAGATCGAAGCACTGAAGAGAGAGGCTAGAATGAAATTGAGAAGTATGGGTAGAGTGATGCGATATCAAGCAAGAACTTCTAGAGCAAAGAAAGGAGAAGAAAAGAATGTGTATCTGAAGCGGGGTAATCTTAACAAGTAAGACGAAAAGAAACGATAGATCCAAGACGCTAGAGTTAGAGAAGTAAGCATCATTATAATTAATAGTCAATAAAGCACATTTTTGGGTAAGGAGCTAGTAAAAGAAAGAATCAGCAAGGAGAAGTTGAAGATCGAAGAGCTGATGGCGCCTAAAAGAAAGACAATAAAATCGAGCTAAAACAAAATGATGTCACACTTCCTTTTTTATTATTACGGAGAAACAATGTATGTAGAAACAAAAGAAAGGAAAAGAAAGAAAAGAATAACAAAGCCCAAAGCCGGGTATGAAGGACGTAACAGACACGCCTAAGGCTCAACTTTGAGAAATCACGAGGAGAGCGAGGAATTAGTATAAAGGGGAGTAGATTCTTGTTTGGAAGGAGTATTAACATGCTAGATTCTGAGTGTGACGGGTGATAGAAGCAAGTGGAGTGACGGTAATGATATTGAATCGTAGAAATAAAAAAGCTTGTTTGTTTGTCGAAGAAGAGGAAAAATGAAGAAGATGGGGATAAAAAACAAAAAGAACCAAAGATATAAAAATAAAATGGTAAGATACATGATTTATTCTCATATCATCATATCATATTCACGAAAAACATAACTCTTATGAAAAAGCAGAAGGAACGCAAAAAAGAAAATAACTCCCAGAACTTCCCGAAAAGATTAAAACCATAAAGATAAAAATATAAACAGAATCAAGAAAGTAATACCACATCAACAAAACAAAACCCATCTACCCAACAATGCACCCAAACATCAAAAGAAGAAACCAAGTGGGTGACATTTGCTATCAAGAACAAGTTACAAAACAACCAAAACCCCGAACCTAGAAAAAGGCAAAACCCTAAAAACCCCAAAACCCAAATCTGGAAAAAAAAAAAAAAATACTCTACTCTACCACTTAACAATAAAACCCACTAAATCCAACGAAAAGTAATTAGATATCTGAGAAAGTAGGTCAGGATATGCGCAAGCATATCTATTAACCGAACAAGAAGAAGAAGAAGAAGAAAGAAAGAACTAACCGATGCTAACCCTAGAATATTCAGGGGTTTTCACTTTCACTTTATCCGCTATGCAAAGGGAATCTCATCAAATCAAGTCAATGTCCTCCAGAACAGTATGCACAGAATGAAAGATATGTACTGTATTATATTAAGCATTTCCACCTACTCAGTTATCTATCCACATTCTTCACGCTAGAGAATCGCATATATACCAATTGAATATCTCCCATTAAATTTGTGATTGACTCAATCTAGTAAATAAACATTATGTATGTATCAATTACCAATTTTGATCAAGATCTCTGGAAACTGATCAAACCCAAACCAGAGAGCTTGGGTACTAAACTATATCGATAATCTCTCAATTTCATTCCCAGACTTCCTCCATTAGATACTCAATTTCTTGCAAAATCTCAAGCTTACCCTACCTATCAAGTGACCCATACCAAATTCCGCCCTTGAATAATATACGTCCTAATCCGCGCAACTTAAAGTATAATACATAGCCCTTGAGAGCTCACCAAAAACACTTTAACCAATACCACCCAACGAAAATTGGTACCCTTTTTAAGATCCTTTACACCATCCATATGAGGTAGACCAACCCCCAAGAGCACATATATATTCAATACGCCAAAGATCAAAAGGTTTGCAAATTATTATTCTCATCCCGAGTCAACTCATAATTCCAGACAATATGATCATAACCCTGCATAATGAGCCTCCACCTTTTTGGATTATCTCCAGCGTTCAATTCAATACCGTAACCATTCTGGATCGGAGACACGGCCAGCCCAAGGAGTGGAGCATTAGACCCTTGATAGCCGCTGTAGATATCGGTATCCTTAGTGCCAGGTGGAAGAAGACATTCGATACGAAAGGTTGGAATGGGATCCAAATTGGAATCGATGTTCACCGTCGATAGCGTCAGAAGAGCTGCTCGACCAATTTGAGAAGCAACAACAACAAGCGATAATTCCGGTATCAATGCCATCATATTGATTCGAGTAATATTGTGGAAAGTCTCGTTAAATGCACTCGGCGTTTGATGACCTTCGAAGCAATTCGTACATATAGTTGCAGGCATACGTATCGAAGAAGGCACGAGTTCGATGCTGTCCATCCAAGTTCGAAGGATGACAAATTCATCACTTGTGTGAGAAGTAGGATCGATGTGACAAATTGCCATATCGGTCATGTGTCTCATGAAGTTACTAGGTTGTGTACATCGTATCGTTTGTGGAGTTGGATTCATGTCTCGAATCAACCCACCTAATTGATCTGGAGGCGAGTCGCTGAGCATGGATTCGTCGCTTAAGTTATCTTCCGAGTGCAAAATTATTTCATCATTTTGCAGAATTGGGTTAGCCATCTCTAACCGCTTCATTCTTTGAGCAAGATTCAAGCAAACCCTTTCGCCTAGCAAATTCTGTATGGACTCAACCCAAACACTATTTAAATCCTCTTCGCCCAAAGCATCTTCAAAACTTTGAGAGTGCTTGAAATATCGCAGTGGGATAGGCATGATTCCCCAGCCCCTAGTAAATATGTTAAAAACCATAGTTGATAAGGAGACATCGTAACAAGCCGGACTCATGCACTAAATGTGGGCTTTCCATGTTTCAAGAAAATCAACCTTCGAACTGGTTACAGTATTTCAAATGATATGAATCTCTTAAATAACATGAAATCCATATGAGTTGACAAGAGAAGTCCCACATTGCTCGCCTACAATCCGAGTTTCTGAAATACTTGGAAGCTGCGTAGAAGTACTTACATTTGAGATAATCTAGGTCCTGGATCAGGGGCAAGAGGTAAGCCAATCAAACTAGAATTCTCCTCCCATATTTCTAACAGCCACAGACTACCCAGAATGTCAGTAGCTATAATTGATTTAGCCAACCCATTCTCATCGTCATCTTTAAAAGCAATGGCGGGAATGTTGTGACTAGGTCCGGTTGGCTTAAGGATAATTCTAAAATTACGGGGACATGGTGTTCCTGGTAGATATGGGCCTTGAATTGCGGAGTGTCCATTATATTTCTTAAGCTGTGTAGAATATCTTAAGGGAAATGAAGAGTCTGTAAAAGGTCCATTCATCTTATAACCAAAACCTTTGGAACAACAGTTCTCAGGGAAGCCTCTTTGGGACTTGGCCTTAACTCCAAATGTCAGGGGGTCAGTGGCAACATCGTATGTGGAACCCATCACAGCGCAATCGCAAGGCTCACTACTAGAGGTACCATGAACGAAGACAGTGACTTCTTGTTTGTTAGAGCTTACTGCAATCAAGCGTGATTTTTGATGAATAGCAATACCCCAAGCACTTATCCCGACATTCTCAAGAAAAAATCTGAAATGAGTAAGAAAAAGACCACATATAGAAATTGAATTTAATACTCACGGGTGTGTGCTACTAATCGGAATTGACGAAGCTGTACTGTCAATCGTTTGTTGAAGTTCTTTTGCTAAAAGGTCCGTATAATATGCCGTTACATCCCCATCATCGCAACAGTACAACAATATCTCTTTGTTGCCCAGATTGCCAATAATCATATTGTTGACACAATGCGGACGAGATTGGTAAACGTATCCAGAACCTGCATTCCTCGACTTTGGTAATCGAAGAATCATATCTGGTACACCGGGCAGAATTTGTTTGAGTGTTCGAGGTCTTGTAATATGTATCGTATCCAAATATGCCACAAAGTACATCTGTAATTAGATGAGCATTAGGAATTGAATATATGTTCATTAAACGTACATTATATTTTTGCGACAAGGCCACTAAATTCATTCTCCAAGTTGCAGGCCGAGGCATACCTTCTAAAGAAGCCGTCTTAGCATCGCTCGGAAGTTCGTGGATAGAGGTTTGAATATCATCAAGGGCCTTTCTATCAAGACCACATGAAGAGAACTGTAACAGGTAAGTATGATATAAAAGTAATTATTCGACTGACCCGCAAAGACGTGACAAAAGTAGCATCTTTCCCATTGAAATGTAACTTTTTTTAATTGACTGACTACACTGAAATGACCATACGACTCAACTTGAGCTTCAACCTCCGTAGATTAATTATGATGCTATGCGCGAGTCTTCGCAGCAGCAAAAACCCTTCATGAAGCCAAAAGTCTCGCATATCGGACGGCAATTCGGAGACACATTGATAAGACTGATCACGTACTCTTTCTTTTGGTGTCTGAACATTATAACTTGTAATGACAAGAGGATTTGTCAATTCGTGTTCCTCCATCGTTCCCAGAATATTTTCCCAACAAAGTCATTGATTTTTTTTGGAAAATTGATGGTATTGATGATTGATGATCAAATCTTCGTGATGTAATAATGATGAGGATGAGGAATGTGGTTTGATTAGTTGATACGAGAAAAGCTTAAGCACGGATTATAAAGCTAAACCTTGATCTGCAAGGCTAGTAACCTTATGCAAGGCTACCTTCACGAATGAGGGGCAACTCCTAAGCACACTCATATCACACCTCTCTCTGAGTGGGCACTGGGTTGGAGGTATCTACCTATCTAATACGTATTCAAGACCTCCAACTTCTGATTTGATATCACATTGGCTATCTTTACTCTCAAGTCAGGAAGACATAATACAGATCATTAATTACTTTTATTCATTTTTCGTTCCGTTTCGTTCTGTTCTCCATGTCAATGTCATGCCCAGCCCAATCCCATGCAATCCATACCCGAAACTATATTACAAGCTCGCCAGCATAACTCATAAAACATGCTTGTCCCATTAACCCCAAATAAAAGTCCCCCCTTTATTTCTTGACATCCTTCTCAACCTTTCCCTTCAACTTCTCTGCCTCCGCAACCTTCTTCTCGACAACCTTACTGATATCTTCATAAGCGCTCTTTACCAAGCCCTCGAACTCATCTCCATGATCCTTTGCTACATCTTGCAAGTGTTGTAATTTCTCCCACAACTTGTCTGATCCAGGGATTCCTGCCATCTTCGCAGCTTGTTGAGCATACTGTTGAACATTTTGTCCCAATCCACTGTTCTTTGCCTTCTCTCCTGCATCCATGACATATTTCTGAAGATCATCTGTGTTTCCAGACTCAACAGCTCTCTTGACTTGATCGAAGATTTCCTTGACGTTACCGGACTTCAAGGCGTCGGCATTCTTCTCGACGATCTCCTTAACCTTTGGGTTCTTCTCCAAATATGGTTTCCACTCTTCCATTCCCTTATTCCAAGCTTGTTCTCCAAGCTTCTGAACCTTCTCACTCTTCTCTTGGATCAATTTGCAAACCTTTTCGATCGATCCGGCACCCAATCCTCCGGAGAGAATCTCAGAAACTTTCTTGTAAGTGTCATCCAACTCTTTCTTGGCATCCGGTCCGTAATTCTCAGCCATACTCTTCAATTGATCCAAGTTGCCCCCTACTTGCTTCTTGATTTGTGGGTGATTGTCCATAATGTCTCCAAGAGAGTCCTTCCCTAACTCGGCAATCTCGCTCAATGCCTTGGTCAATACATTATAACTCTGCACCGCAGTTTGCATATCAAGTCCTCCTTTTTGACTGATATTCTTCAATTCAGAATAGGTTTTGCTAACAATCTCATCGACTTCCTTGCCATGTTTTTCTTGTACTTTCTCAATATCGTTAAATGCACTATCAAGGAATGATTGTGCACCAGGGATAAAGGCGGCATAAGAAGAAGTGGCATTGCGAAGCCATTTGATCGCTTGATTTGGTTCGGGAGCTTTTTCAGATAGTGACGAGGTAGCCTTTTGGAATTGAGATTTCGTAGAAGAGTAAGCGTTGACGACGGTTTTGGCACCGGAAAATTGGTAGTATGTGTAGCATCCCTAGGGTATAAAGTTAATATAACGTTCAAAGGTAGATAGATACTTCTAGCAAAGAGAAATAAGATACTTACAACCAAAACCACGGCCCCACCAGCAATACCTGCTGCAAAGCCCGAAGCACCACCTGCCTTCGCACCTTCGGCTTGTGTCGTCGAAACAAATCTAGTCTGTCTAGTTTGTTGTCTAATGGGTGCACGAATTGTGCGAGCCGCAGCTCTTGATGCTGTTCTTGAAGCGAGCATTATGTATGTATGTATTGTGCGTTGTGTTGTGTGTTGTAGTTTGGGTATCTTATTACGAAGAATGGTATGTATATGTTGTGTATAAAGGGAGGAAACAACGACGTGGTGATTCAATTGAGATGAAAGTAAGGGTATTAAACTTTTTCAAGGGATGTATTTGTATATGGGAGAGAAGAGAAGAAGAAGAACTTGACAGCTTCAATTCTTACATATTTATCTACTAGGTAATCATCTGAATAATTCTGGATCGTCTAGCTCGACGTCAATACTTGGTACTGGAAAACTTGGTAGGATGCTATTCTTCAATGATTTTCCATCGAATTCCACCTTTTGCGTACATCAATCGTCACAAAGCGTTATGAGGTTGTGAGAGGAATGACGACACTGCCCAGACTGCCCCGGTAAATCCCCCGCTTAAAAAGCTCTGGCGTCATATGTGGCGGTGCGAATTAATGGCTGGTGTCTTCGTTATGACAAAGAGAAACACGAAATCAATAAAATGTCGGGCTAGAACCTCCGGGAAGAAATGTATAATAGCAGGATAAATGTTATGCAAGAAATGTATACGAATGAGTCAATAATATAAGGGACAAGTAAATAATGTGATTACTTATTGCTGTCGACCGCAGTATTTACTGTTGCTGTCGATATCGCGGGACAATTGAGTTTCCATAGGTAATTATAGGTATAGATATCTTGTTGCATCCTCTGTTGTATCTTATTAATATGTGAATCTATCCAAGCATTAAAATTGATGCGAATGTTTGATTTTTATTTTCTGTTTTTTCTGATCTGCACCAATGGTCTATAACAATGGTTGAGTTGCGTTTCTAATCGCGATTCTAAACTCCCATATAAATTCAAAGGTCGAACATATCCTCCTCGTTTCCTATATACTATCCATCATTTTTTTTCCAATTCATAAAGCCATTTTTTCATTGAACTCATGCCATATCATATTTCGTATCATCCGATTGTATCATGTAAGTCGTAAAACCCAAAACCACCGCCCTCCCGTCCGTATCCATATCCATATCCGTGTATAATCATCATCCGCGAAGCCATCTGTCGTAGCTACCTCGTCGTGAAAAGTCGTAAATCCCTCTAGTTCTTGGAATATCTAACCACAGTCCAAGTAGCGATAGCCGCACTAGCAAACATCATAGCACCTCTTCCCAAGCTCAACATCGCCCAATGATCAACCAGCTCGTGAGCAGTTCGAACATCCTCATCTTCATCAGATGCCTCCTTTCTCCTGCTGGAAGAACTCTTCTTGTAACTTCTATCACTTCTTTCGCGGTCCTTGGAAGATTTCTTGTGCTTGCGACCAGACCCAGATGAAAGGTCATCCCAATCTCCTCCAGATTGATTGGCATAGCCTACTTGTGCTTCATCCACCTTTCCTAACAGCTTTGAATTTGTGGGCAACATGAACAAAACTGTATAAGGGATCATTCCAAAAGCCAACGCGCCGGCAGCACCAAACAACTTCATCTTAATTTTGTCGGTCTGTTGGTATGCGAGGAAGAGGAATGATCCTGTTGGAATCAACGAAGCGATTGGGAAAAACGCCTTTCCTTGTTGAAACATGTTGTTCCATTGTTTGAGTAGGAGGTGCGGTGGAGATTCGAGTATTCTCGGAACGGCAATGAAAGAAATGCTGAGGTTGGCACCAGCCAGAGCACCTGCAGCAGTGATTCCAACACACTGGGCTACACGAATAGGCAACTGAATATCCGTCATTTTTGGGAAAGACGCAAAGGTCGAAGGGGAGGAAGATTTGGACATGAAAGGCATGATGAATAGATAGATATTGAAATGAGGGGTAACAACGAATACACAAATATGAATGATAGATATGTACTGCAGGTTAGATGAAAAGGCGGGAGGAGATATAAATGGTTATGTTTGGTGTGGATGTGATGGAACGAGAGAGATCAAATGGTTCGATAGGATTCGATGCAAGTTTAGAGTCAAATGCAAACTGCATAACACACAACTTTCAAGGTTGCTGGCGGTGAAGGGACGTATGTTGAGCTTGGACCAGCTAAGTACCTTGTAACCAACCACTTTCATATGGATTATGAATTTATGATGCCTTATTTTGATCATTCGATGAGATTTGCGAGGCTTGGTGGAGTAAATACATTGATAAGATCTTGATATGTAAAAGACCCCTCCACCGCGTCTTCCGATTATGAAACAATGAAGATTTCTTCTCTCAGTTGGGTATCAATCGAATGGATACTAGGTATATATTGTCTTTACTATCTTGGTGTAATACGTGATCTCTATTATCCACCAAAGAGTTCGTTCCTTACCTCACTTCAGCTCCCGAGGTATCTGTCCTCGCATCGGAGGTAAGATCTGAAGTACCTTACATACTGTACTTACATAAGCTCAATAGATATCCAACCCCTCTTTTCATGTTGGGTACGAGGCAAAGAGTGACGCGTGATACAACGGAGATCGAGTTGATTACTAGCTTCAAGGTAGATTTCCAAGCGTGTAATAACCGTATATCCAAAGTTCTTGTCTCCAAAATTGCTCGATTATTCGAGTACCTATCCAACATGAGAGAATTATGCTTTTCCGTATCAAAGGACCTCGGAAGGTATTGACAGCTATGCGGTCTTACATCACGACCAGTAGTGCCCAACACAAGCAGGTAGGACGGACATGACTCGGAATCGGACAATTTGCGTCCCCATAAATATTCAAGATAACACGTGAGACACGATTCCGATGTGTGTTTCCTGCAAAACGTGACGGGATATCGATCGGAGCCAAACATCACATTGTCAGTCATAAGGCTGCCCAAAAGAACCATCAGTGGATCCAACATCTACATCCTTAGTAAGTGGAGCGAACCTGACGCTTATACGTCGAGAGTTCTTCACTTGTGTCGAACCTGTATAACTCCTCTGAAACTTCCGAGTTGTGGGGAACTGCACCATATTCTGTACAAAAATAAGACGTACAAGCGATAAGACTAAAATCAAGGAATTCCAGATGATTCGCGCTGTTCTGCATTGCTGGCATGAAGTTTCAGGCCGTTGATCAATTTGAATGCAATGCTTGCCCTATGGATGACTGTCGTACCACATAATCGGTTTTTCGGGACGTTGGTCCCCATCAATAGCCGAGCAAGAGCCAGACATTGAGCCCCTGGCCTATGGGGTTGGAGGTGGGGTTGCGAATAACATCATTCTTTTGATGTTCGAAGTACTAGAAAGCAGGGCCATTCGACCCTGTGAATTGTCTCACCGTGCTTTGGTCCTTGTTCGAACAGCGTACTATAGTCGGAGTTTGCGGGGTATCCTATCTGACAGCCGAAATCCCCTCCACGATTCAAGATCTTGAACACCTCATACTGAGTCATATATCACATCAACAGAATCTTTCATGTGTTGATATGATTGAAATATACGGGGAACTAGATTCTCATTAAAAGGCCAACCTCTTCTCGCTTGCAAGATTAGAGCCTGTATCTTGACTCCTTTTCATGATGCATAATCTTATCATTTTCCCTCCAAACTCCCCAATACCATCTACGCAGTAGGATTTTTAATACACCTTTCTACTTCACCACCTCGCGATTTCTCTTGCTTCATTATCTTCACTGCCTGTCCAAGACGTCTTTAATCAACATCATGAAAACCCCCATGCATCTCGATTCCCCCAACTAAACCCTCCTCAAAAATCCTTTTCATTTACGACCTCCCTTTCATTTTCGAGCTTCACAATTCCGTCTCCATTTCTTCATATAACATCCCCAATTATTCCATTCCCATCCAAGGAACACCATCCTGACTCCATAGTCCATAATCACTCCACATTACACTTTATTCTTTGATCGTACTCAAGAGCTTTTGATTATCTATATATGTTTGAATACATATGCCCCTAAACCCAGTCCAACTAGTCCAGTCCAGTCCAGTCCATAATCCCCAATCCACATCATCTAGACCACAAAGTCAAACGCCAACCCAATGCAACTTATTCCCTCAAACCACAAACGCCACTCCGAGTTCCCTGTGCATCCAGAACTCCATCTCCATCTACCTCCTAAGCCTTAGTAGTGAAATCCGTCTCAGTAGGAAGTAATCCACCATCTGTAGCTTTCTCACAGGTGCATGCATCTATTTTTCGTCAGTACCCAAATTTATACACCATTCCAATCCTCGCCTATAGAGAGGAAAGATGAGGAGCAAAAACACACCAGCAGGTCTAGCACCACATGAACAGAGGTCTCCAGAAGGAACCTTGTTTTCCTCAGCTGAACGCTCGCAGGTACAAGCTCCGGCTGCACGGGCACCTGGGGAATCGTTAGTTGTGATGCTGATAAATGTTTGTAAGAGGATAATACATACGGCAAGAACATCTGGCACCCTCGACCTTGTTTTCACTCTCGGATTTGGCGCAGGTGCATTCGAGAGCTTTCTTTTCGCCGCAGGAACATTTGGCTTGGGTTGCTGGAGGAAATATTAGTTTTGTGTGGTTTCATTTGTTCCATGTGATATTTCACGAGTTGTATTGTGAGGACGTGTTGAGCTTGATTTCGTGATAGGGAAGGTGGGGAAGAGGCGAAGGAGGAAATGAGAGAGGAACATACCACAAACACAACCATTGCTGGCGTTCTCGCCCTTCTTGCAACATGTTGATGGAGCCATTTTACTGAGAGTTTTGTTTGATATTATTTATCGAAGTTTTGAGAATTTGATGTTGTTAATTTCGAAATCGCTTGGTTTTCGAGTTGTTTCTTGAAAATATCTATTGATGAAAGGATGAAGCTTAACTGTGAAGTAATGAATTGATATTGATAATGGAGTAATACAAGTCCTTTATATACTTTCACTCCCGTACTATAAAGTTGGTTACTGATACTAGAAGCTATGTTGGACGTCAATTGATGACCATTGCTTACAATTACATGAGCGTTTATTGGTCAGACAGGTCTTGTACTGAAATAGGTGGGGTTTGATTGGATGGATTTTGGAGGTTTGGACACTATGAACGAAGTTTCTTTTTTCGGGGAGATGATGGACAAATCAACGATTGGGCATTCGATATTGATTATCATTGAATGATTGACTTGCTGTTGACGTTAGTTCACAAAGCTTTGAAGCTCACGTGAAGCTCTCGAGTGCGTCATCACGTCCGAGAAGCTTTACTCCTGAATTGCAAGGCAGAACTGGCGAATGTCCAACTACATCGTCAGTCTTGTCAATCTTCCATTACAAATTTATAATCCAACTTTCCACTCTTTATCATTAACTTTTTTCTCAAGTCGATCTCAATATATATCTTATATGTTCTAATGATTCTCTATATATGTTCATGGAAAAATGCACTCGCAAATTCTACTCGCGACGCCAATGTGGCTAGTTTGCTACACATGGCCAAATGCAAATATTACCTTGAGTATACTCCAAGCTGTGGCGCGTATTCTGGTGCTTCTTGTCGATCGTCTGGGGGTATCATCATCGGTAGAGATCAAAAGAACGGAAGCAAAGGAAAACCTGCGTCTCAGAACACGTTGCAAGGCTTAAAACAAAGGTCATGTAAAATGGCTACCTTGGACCCTAATATCGGTATCTCTAACAATGAGTGTCTTTCCCTGGTGCAATGCGTGCCATAAATTCAAGCATATTTAAAAATTGATAGGGTGTCGCCGTCCATATATCTTCAGCCCGAATCTCATACATTAACTTATTGGTTGGTTAAGCGAAAATATGCAACGATCCCAAACCGTGGATAATTGTTGTAATCCATGCTCCCGTTGACCATTCTAATGGAAAGCACAGCTCAAACCTGATTGCTGCCTTATTAGATAAAGAATGGTGCAACAACGTGTCAGCGGGTGATTCCTTCCCTGATCTTATTCAGCCGGATTCTCAATGAAATAAAACTGCAAGCACTTGTTAATCGTGTCAACAGCCTTGATTTTCTGAGCCAGAAAAACTGTGAAAATTACTACGGAATCATCACTAGAATGAATCCCGACGATAAACTTAGCAAGCCCAATTTCGGGCATCGCCTTGCAAGGAGCTGTAGAGACAAATTTAGATCAAGTGATAAAAAGAAGCCTGAGCCATCACAGAAAAAAGTTCATGCCGTTACCGGCTCCGCTGCTGCTGCCAAAAAAACAAGATCAGATTGACCGAAATGGCACAACTGCAAAAGAAGTCAGACCACCTAAATTGCAAGCTAAGCTCGACTTATGGCAAGAAGCAATTGAGAAAGTCCAGCAGTCCACAGACTGGAAAAGTCACAAACGTGAATATGATAAAGCGATTTTGGAGTGTCAAGGCAACAACCAAAACATTTTGAATAAGAGTGGTACTGAGAACGAGAAATCCACGAGCTTAGCTGACGCCATATCCGAGCACTTGATCACACTCCAGGAGAAAGGTCTAGAAAGACAGTGGGAATACAAGAAAAGTTCAGGGGATGAAAGTTTCTATTTTCGAGATGTCATAAAACGCATCGTTCAATGAGTGAAAGTTTTCAAGGACCCCGGCAACCAGCTGGCTGCTCTCGATCCTACCAAAGCTGCAGCGTTTGTTTGGGGATTCGTGCAATTCTTCGTCGAAGTACGTATGATTGTCTATGTATCTTGCAATTATTTACTGACTCGGAACAGAGAGCTATAGTATATGATGAAATCAGGGACATGGCAATTGATCAAGAGCCAATTGCGAATTTGATAACGTGGTATGCTCTGATTGAGAACTTGTATCTCACCAATATGTCTGGAACCCTAGATGAGGTTGATGAGGCAGTCAAAAGCAAGATAGTGTCATTATACACAGCAGTTATTCTCTACCAAATGGCTATCTACAATTTCTGGAAGCAAGGCAAAATTACACATGGCATACAAAGTCTAGTGCCTAATAAACTCAAAGAAATGTCGAGTACCATCCAGAAAAAGTCGGCAGAAGTTGAGGTAATATTGCACAGTAGTGACAGAAAGGTGCTACTCGAACTACTTGAAGACATCAATCTCAAAGTCTCAAAGCCAATTGTCCATATCGGAAGTCAGATGCAACAGGTTTTGGATGTGGCTATGAACATTGATAAAGATAGATACTCGAGTGTCCTGAATTGGGTCTCGCCAATATTGCACATGGATCATCATCAGGAATACAAACCCCTGGGTGGGACTGGGGAATGGATTCTTGATCACTCAGATTGGAAAAAATGGCGGGAGTCACAGACATCAAGACTTTTTTGGCTCCGTGGCAAAATGGGTGCAGGAAAGTCTAACTTGGTGTAGCCACTCCAAATTTTCGCATTTGATACGTGCAGAAATCTCTGACAGATAATTTAGGTTTATCATCATATCTCATTTACTCAAAATCTGCACGAATGATCAGGAGCGTACAGCATTCTTCTATATCAACAATACCCGTCGGGTGGAACATACCAAATCCGCAGAGACTATTTTGAGATCTCTACTCAAACAGCTCGCAATTCAGGATAATGAGCTCCTGCTGCAGCCCGTTGTTGCAAAATATGACATGCTTCGAAATATCTCTAGTCTCCATAAAGAGGATTGCATTACGCTGCTTACTAATATCATTAGCGAATTTCGACAGACAAATATCATTATCGATGGATTCGATGAGCTTGAGGATGATGACGTTCGAATGGACTTATTAGTCTCTTTGAAACAAATAATTGATGGGTTACAGGGTGCAGTGGCGAAGATTTTTATATCGAGCCGAGATCACGTCAACATACAAGATCTCTTACATAAAAATTTCCGTTCCCGCACCGAAATCATTGTTGCAAGGAACAATTATGAAGCCATTAAGAAGTTCATTAAAAGTCGTGTGCAGGATGTGGAGAACAAGCTTTCTAATCAACGAATTCCTGAGGACATAAAGCGTGATACGGAGTCAATCTTGGAGGAAAGATCAGACGGAATGTAAGAACCTCTAAAATCCTTCCCGTTGGTACAAGTTTTGTTAACAAGTCAGGTTTCTCTGGTTGCACCTGTCCTTGAAGTATTTAACACGAATCAAGGCTAAAAACCCCGCCACGTTTGTTGAAGATTTGAAAACAGTACCGTCAGATCTCAAAGAAGCTTATGAAAAGCTGTACAATTCCCTGCTTCAGGGACAAAACGATGAGAGAATTGGTATCATTCAAAAAGTATTTTGCTTTCTTCTGTATGGATGTCACGATAAAATATTTGAGGCCTCTGCGTTTCTTTCGGTAATCAACTACAAGGCCACATTAGAGCTATCTGCAAAAGACATTCTGGATTTGTGTTCTACATTCATTGAGTTAGATCCAGAGACTCGAAATTTCAGAATAATTCACTTTTCTGTGAAAGAGTTTCTTTAGACCTTGGAAGAATATGGGTTTCAACATGCAAATGCCATGATTGCTGCTCATTGTGTCTCTTACCTAAATAGCTAAGGTCGTCGCAGTCTGTTCAATTGTTATCACAGAGGCTGGGGTAACGGCAGCCGCCGTGGGGGATATGACTTTGGATCTTATGGGACTGTGTTTTGGATGATTCATGTTTCTCGGGCGGGTATTTTGAGACAGAAATCGCCGCTTGCAGAGACATTATCCGAATTCTGGCCTTCTGAGAGGGACTGGAATTCGCCCACTTTCGAAAGATGGGTAAATTCAATGTAATATTGGGAACGTAAAAACCCTGCGTCTATTAGCTCTCCGGTTAAATTACTCGGAGGCTCCAGATCGTTATTTCTTGGTTCGAAGTCAACAGCTTTCTTCTTAGCCTGTCAGTATGACCTCCGAGAGACAGTCGAACGGTATTTGCGCGAAGGCTGGGATATCAATCTCACAGTTCCTCTTCTTGGACCAGGGCTTTCATATGCATGCACTGGCAATCATATGAAGCTCGTTTCTTATTTACTTTCTCAAGGAGCGAAAATATTATCTGATGAATTTGAAGAATCACCACTTTTCGCGGCTGTTAGAGCCCAGCGACCAAAAATCCTCCGTTTATGCTTACAAAATGCTACTTTGCCAACTGTAGAGCCTTTACTGGAAGCAGCTCTAGGGAAAGGAAATTGGGAAAGAAAAATATTTTCAAAGCTCGATTCGCAGGCCAACAACCAAGTACTAAACTTGTTGCTCGACTATTCATCGGATTTTCATTTTTTTGACATGTTGCAAAGTTTAATGTTCAATGGAGGGCCTGAGATCCTCAAACTGCTTCTCGAACGAAATTCTTCATTATCCGTAACAACCGACACCCTCAAATATCTTTTCACTCTTAGAGCCAAATCTTTGTCCTATACTCGATCGTGTCTCGATTTATTACTTCCGCTAAATCCTGAGTTGGTAAAAACTCGGTCACTCCTAATTGCCGTTCAAGAGTATGAGGGAGAGGAGCCTTCTGAATTGGCCCGATACATTGACGAAGATTTAAACCCATCAGGTTCCTCATCTCTGATAACCGAACTGACCCTGAGGGGTGCGATGCAAAATAATAGCAACGGACTTCCTTTCATCAAGTTCTTGCTCCGAAAAGCCCCGGCTTTGAAAATATCGGATGAAACGATACTATGGACCATTGAAAATTATTTAGTTAGATATGAAGATGTGATCGAAACTCTTCTCCAACATGACCCCACTATTCGGAAAATTTCCATTTCAGATTTTGAAAAGGCATATCACGATCCGAATTTTGGCGAGTTTATGGTGAGCAATTTTATGGCAGTTCTTCTAAGATATTGCCCCGAGGTGGCTATCGATCAGGAATTATTTACCGTAGCCATAGGATATTACCGACTAAGCCTTAGCGGACTTAAACTTCTACTTTCTCGGAACCCGAAAATCAAATTAACCCCGCAGTCAGTTGGAAACATATTCTCATATGCCGCGGATCAGGTAGTAGGCGAGATCTCATGCTCGAGCAACCTCGTGGAAATCATGGATGATATATTAAGGGCAGCTCTAGGTAACACTCACCTCCGCAACATTCATCACATTCGTCATATATCACCGGCAATAGTCAACTTGCTATCTAAAGCGGTAGAATCGTTGGAGGAATTATCAGATGAAACCGTGTACCAAGCCTGCGAATCAAAGGCGTGGATCATGGAAAAAGTGCTTGGGCGTTGGCCAAATGCACCTCTGTCAGAGAATGCATTAGTGGTTGCATTAAGCGATGAACAAAAATTTCATATTCTTATTGAAAAAAGTCCTTCGATAGCAATCTCTGCTGAGGTCATTGAAACTGCATACAAGCAACATTCTGGCTCGGTAAACATGATAAGTACTATATTGAAGGTCTTGGAGCTGCAGCCAAACATTATAATCACGGAAACACTGCTCGAGACAGTTTCTTCAGAAGATTATCCCATTCATGAGAGAGTGCATCATCAGTTGATCGATATCCTTCTACGATGCATTCCTCACGCAAAGTTGACGGATCAAGCCATTCATAACTGTATGACACAAAGCTTCCCTCTCGCTCAGCTCACATTTGAAGCTCGACCAGATTTGAAACTCAGTGCCTTCTGTTTTGGCAGCATCTGTTCTCGACTTTCCGATGACAACCCAGAAAACCAGATTATCTTACATCAACTGTCGAAACGATTGAGCTTCGGACTGGATGAAAATGGCATGCTGGAATTCATGGAAACATGTACGCCAAACGCAGTCATAACAGTTTTGTCAAGCAAACCTGATGCGCCGGTGACAGAAAGCGTCATCAATTATCTTTTGAAGCAACTTCATAGAAACTCACTCTATCAAAGTATCAAGTCATGGTTTCGCGACCCTGGAGTCATAGCGTTGAACATGTTACTAGATCGATCGGGTTTGCCGGAGGTTTCACGCCAATTCTTGTTGTCTGATTTTCAGGAGTTGAAGAAGAAGGACAAAGAACTTGAGAACGAGTGTTAGTTTATTTGTTATTATGGAGACATGCTCAGCCTAACTTTTCATAGATCGATCCATTCGATATCAATATCACGAATGGAAACATTCTAGCCGAATAAGCTCGTAACACAACAACCTTCTTTAGGTGTTAGCAAATAAATACATCGAATTCCCTAATTCCCATTATTCGACGGGATATTAAGTCTCAATTCACAATCGCACGATTTATTACTTTTCTCTCCAGCGCCTTAGCGACATGATACAGGAAAAATATAACATTCCCTCTGATCAGGTAGCCTAGGTTTATAGAACAATTCAACAGAGCAGAGAGGTATATGAAGCTACCAGATTGCAGAGCCAGTATCGTCATGAGCGAGGTGAATAATTGTATGTCTTCCGTCCTTCGCCTTTATCGTCATACTGATGCAGACTCTGCGTGAGTGAAATAATTTGCTGAAGCGAGTACTTCAACCTCTTTGACAACTCTCCAAAATCCGAAGAAACGAAACAAAAAGCTAATTTTCATTCACTCTAGAATACATAATAGACTACTTGCAATTATTCTTTAAGAAAGATGATCGAAGTATATAAAGATTTTCCGAAGATTTTGGTGCCAGCCGGCAGCCTTTTCCTTAATTAAAAGTGACTGCATCATATCGAGCTTACAGGAAGCAGCAATATCACTACACATGACCCCTTCATCCAAATCGATTCGTTCGAATCATCGAGGTTTGAAAGTTTTCCGTTCTGCCCACCTTTGTTGAGCCGGTCTCAACACATTCAATTTCGTTCCAATACCCTACATTCGATCTCTAGGTTCGATCTCCATCGCACACACTTGTCGAACTATCATGTTTCTGTTGCAGACTACCTGCAGTAAATGAATTAATAGGGCTCAATCGTTATTTAGAATCTACAACTAGAGGCCGTAGATCTCGGAAGTCAAAGAGCTCTTGTGCACGTGATTGGGTCACCCGGTGAAATCTCTAGTGATTGATGTTTGATCGTATGATCTGAATCAATCTGATATCAGATTCAAAATAAAGCATTCAAAGTTTACCCACGCATGTAGGTAAATTATCTACAATTCAACCCGACTACCCCAGGCACTATGGCTGCAACGGCCTGTTCTCGATCTAGTCTTTCCTTATTGCGACTATCGTCCAAAGAATGTTTTCCTCGTCCTTCTCTGTTCTACTTTCCTTGTAGCCATTCGAGAAGGATCGCACGGGCGGTATCCATGGCCCTACGACCTCTCTCCACTGAAAACTCAGCAGTGGATGCCTCAGTTCTTACAGAAGCTGCAGTTCCTCTCGCTGTCGCCATTTCTCCATATGTAGCAGAAATGATAGCTTGATCCGCCAATATTCGTGCCCTCTCTGCAGCAGCTGATACTGCCAGAGATTCATTTAGAGAGTCTGTCAAACTGATATCAAGTCTTACTACCGCATGACTGGCAGCCGTTGCATATTTTTCGGCAATGGCACGTGCAGCAATGTCTTGCTTTCGAGCATTATCGCACTCGCGGACCTTTGCCTGGGCAGCTTCGACTCTTACTAACACATCTGCCACCTTGTCTGAAGTTGCCTCTGCCTGTTCTCGTAATTCCCGCGCCAATATCTGTGTCTGGCTTTCGTCTTCTTCATCTTCACCTTCATCATCTCCAGGGACATGGTCCGGTTTCTCAGCGTCCTCGACATTGGTTGCTGCCTCCACGATAGCATTAGTTTTGCTTGTTATTCGTCGCGCTGCCTCTGTAATCTCGGCGAATGAGGCCCAGGCTGTAGTCCCGCATACAAAGAAGTCTGTGATTCGAATTGCTGTGGCTTTTAAGGAGTCGCGTCTGGCGGTTTTTGCAGCCTCAAATAGCTCTTTATCGTACTCGGATACTTTTGAAGCAAATTCACTTGTAGAAGAGGCGGCAATAGTGATGCGAGAAATATCAGCTGCAACTGCATGAGTAATGGCGAGTAGCTGTTTGCGATATTCAACGTATACAAAGATCCATGCAGCTACTAACATGGCGACGAGACTAAGACTAAGAATTGGCAGGAGCATTAAGTAGAAAACATCCGGATGAAAAGATGTCAGGTAAGGAAATAGGAAGAGTGCAACACAGCACCACCAGTCGAGGAATTTGTACAATCGGGACAAACGGTCAGAGTATTCTAGGTAGCCGAAACGAAATGGACCATAGAACTTTGCAGTCGGTGCAAAGAATCCGATAATGGCTATGCCTGCAAGAAGAGAAACATGGAGCCATGGTCGCAAGGGAAGTGCGAGCCCGTAATGGATAGAAATATACGTAAGTAAAACGACCAATGAGCCAACTGCAAGAGTTAGATTCAGTAGGACTTTCGAGACAAGCTAACAAGTTCCATAAGTTTAGAAGACTTACTTTTGACGTAGGGTGCTAAACGTGTAGTCACTGCTTCGATGGCTGGTAGAGCTTTCTTGAACTCAGACACTTCCGGATCCTCGCCAGCCGAGTTGCTCTCGGGGAATCTCAGATAGCCTTTTGTGTAAGCAAAAACCAGAACGATAAGGAGTGCTGGGCTGTGGAATGGATCTAGATCTACCAAGTTGAGGCGAAGGGTATGGAGTAGATAAAAAATCGCTCCAAAGAAGACAATGTTTGTGCCAGATCCTTTCCGAGGAGACGCATCTGGGCTCTCGTTGGCTGGGCTGATATTAGGGAGCTTCAAGTAGCCACATAAATGAGCTACAAGCAGAATAACCACGAAAGTGGGGTTTTTGAATAGTTCGAGGTCAACCCCATCGGCGTTGGGTTTGGAAACATAATACAAAACTATGACGGCGATGACAAGCCCTACTCAAGTATAATGGTAAGCTATCACTTCGACAAAATCTGTCATTTTCGCAAAACTCACCAGTACTACTTGCTCCGAATAATCTAGACGCCGCTCGAGCAGAGAGGAAGATATTTTCCCAAAATGGACTAGGAGAAGTCATGATAAAGATACGATTCTCAATAGCGGTTGACACGGGAAACGCCGATATCTCGAGGTGATGAATAGATGAGTATCTAGTCGACAGTTGACTAATATGATGATTAAATTTCTATTCATATGTAGGCTTTTGACGCTCTTTTAAATCATATTCTTATCGACTTTGGATTCTGTATCGGCAATTAGCACTCCTCAGTGGACAGCTATCCAGCACTGCAGATGCATGTCAGATTTATAACTGCCTATTGATATATCTCTATACAACGGTAATCTTCTTAATATGCGGCTATATCTCTTATGGACTATAATTGACAGGTATAGGTCGCATTTCAGCTACACTCAGACCCCACCACCTTGGATGAATCCCACCTGCAGACGCATGTCAGACTTATGACTACCTATGGATTGACATCCATATTACCAAATGATCTACTTCTATACAATGGTCTTTTCTTATTTTAGACAGCTGCAGCTTTCCACATTCAATTAGGTATTTTTCTAAAGAAAAAAAATTCACCATCAACTTATCCTATGTTTGGCGATTGATATTTAGTGCTACATAGAAGTTAATTCTCGCTTTTTCCTTGAATGTGCTTTGAGGCCAGTATTCTCGAAGAAAGCTCGCTGGAGGTTGGTGTAATTGCTCAATCTGCTTTAACGTACGAACATCAAAGTCTTCATCCCTTTTCTCCCGAATCTCTGATGAGCTCAGTATTATGGCCAAAAATATTACACTCTTCACTTTCAAACAAGGCACTGGAGTAGCAGCAGCAACCCCACTGAATTATGACAACTTCAGAGGAGGAAGGAATCGCACAGAGGGCGCATTTCGTCTTATTGATGTCAAGGGTCTCACGTTGAGGACTCCGGTTCTGAATATCGTTGAATTTTCGGACATAAAATTTGGACAAAATGCAGCACGCGAACTCCGAAAACTTCCTAAGTCTAGCATCAAGTACACGGCGATCAGCCACGTCTGGAATCCCTCCCCCGAAGTTGAACATCAAATGAACGCTATGAATGACAAGGATTTATTTGGGGTAGAATTTGATCCTCCGCATGGCGGAACAGGATTAAGATTGGTGAATATCAGTTGGATTGGCTTAAACCAGATGGCGCACGCTGCTAAGATGAAAGGCTCTAATTACATATGGCTCGATCTCTGCTGTATCGACCAACCGGATAGGAAGGACAATGAGACGAAGTTTCAGATCTCTATGATGGCCGACATCTACCGACACGCGAACAATGTCATTGTTATGGTCGGCGGAGCTGGCTGCGTTCAGCACACCGATCAAGTTAGCCCGTGGATGGAAAGAGCTTGGACCCTTCAAGAAGCGATCCTTAACAGAAAGACCTTTGTTTGCGTGTTATGGCCTAATCTTAAGAGGAAAGTGACATATATGTCCAAAGGGTCACCCGTCGTGTGGACGTTCCAACAGGTAATAGCCGCAAAGCTGGCGCCAAAAATCTCATCTGGGGACGTTTGCTGCCTCATTTCTCTCAAAGACCTACTCGACATGGCTGATGTGGACTCTTCACTACTTAAGCCGTCAGGCTGTCCAGAAATTAGCGTTCTCGATGGAATGACGCTCAAGGCTGGTAATGCACCAAGGCTAGCGCTTCGGACAGCATTCCTGAACTCCCCTCTGGCGATCAAATACACAGGCGTGTGGAGAAGCATGTTCATGCGAACATCGACCAAGTCTATTGACGTTGTCTACAGCATCATGGGGATCTTTAACTTGGTGATCGACCCTTTCAAAAAGAACCACGATCCTTCTTTTATGTTCAATGATTTGGCCCGCAAGACGGGAGCAACGCCAAGTATTGGCGCATGGGGGTGGCTGACTATTGGCGGTGTTACTGGTGGTGATATTCCGTTCGATGGAACATCTGGAATAATCCCACGATTTCCTCACGATGAAGCGAAGGTCGCTGCCACGACCAATCAAGCCCCAGAGATGAATTTTGGGGGCAGGTGGGAATGGGTTGGACATCATGTTGATCACTCCCCATTCTACATCACTTCGCCAGGCTCTTACAGTACGAGCCACAATATCAACTTCATGACCCATTCTCAGCCACATATCATAAACGCAACCATGATTCCTGTGAACCATAAGCCCATAGTCAAAGGTTCGAGACTTGTCATGACTGGTGGTCGGAAAGGTGTGAGAAGAACAGTCTCTATGCTCAAGCTCATGAATTCTTGGGGGCGATGTGTTCATAGCGGCGACCTCGCTGGATCATGGAGCCAACCTGGAAGTATTCAGGCCGTCTTTGTAGGGAAGGTTGGCGATATGAGCACAGCGGTTGAAGTTGCTAAACCTCGTTATGGTTATGCAGGGTGGATGTACTTCCTCTTCTTCAAATACTCCAGGAGTGAAAAGAAATGGCAAATCGTTGCAAATGGTGCTTGGAATCCGCCGAAAGGATGGAAACTTCCTGTATCAAGTCGCTCAATCTTCAACGTCGGCCATCATGCACAAGAGCGATTGAAGAAATGGTCGGCAGATGACAATTTGTGGGTAGATCAGAGGTATCAGCTATTTAGGCATAGTTATGGAGTAGAACCCTTGCGTGGATGGTTAAGCGATCACCCCAAGGAAAGGAAAATAAAATGGTTTGGATCCAAGGTGACTGCATCCCATCATGTTATGAGTTTTGTGGTGCATTCTATCAGAGATAACTAACAAGCTTCCTCATATTAGGGCTCCATACCCCCTATGGCTTCTGACCTTGTGTGGCGAAACTTTGAGTTCAATTACGATTTGTTGAAAAATTTCGTCCCTCTTATGAACAAAGTAAATGAGAACGACGATGATTCAGATGAAGAGGATCATCAAGATGAGGCGTATATCGAAAAAGAAGAGAATGCGCCACTAGATGATCTACTTAAACAAGGACACATCCACCACTTGCGAGTCCTATCCTGCATCGTCGACGAGAACCGTACCCCGCGAACCAGCACAACACCGACGCCCTACAAGATCTTACAGCAAGGCTCTATGCCCATGACTTACAGTTACGGGGATTGGCCGAAAGCAGTACATATCAAGCTCATCAAATGCAATGTTGAGGGCCTCATGATACCTAATCCGTGGAGTAATAGTGAACCAGTGTTGAAATATCAGGTGCGGATTGTGTTTGGCTATCGCGTCATGTATGTCCAAATGAGGCATAAAGGGAAGAGCGATCCAAGGTTCTATAACATGTACTGTGTGCCGTACAGGGCCCCGGGTCAATCTGGTCCTGTCCGCAACAGAAATAGTCTTATATCCCCGCAAAATTCTAACTATGGGCCCGAGTCTTATCAACTACCGGTCGCCTACTAGCCTGATGGGCCGTTATATACATCTGCTTAGGTCTTTGAATGAGTTTCAATGCTCCCCTGCAAGACTCTGGGGCCAAATTTAGCATATCAGAACTCGATAAGCCAACGCGAGCTCTAGAATAAAATAATGTTGATTGGCAAAAACATGTTTCTACCTCGAATCAGAGATTGCAAAATATCTGACTGGTCAAGATCAATCAGATTCCTGCTTTAATTTGAATTTCAACGTACGCTTACTATGCTGTGTAACTCGAATCATCGGCTCATCAGCTGTCCAAAAAAAGCCATGCCGTTATATAAGCAGCCACTTCTCACTTATGTTTCATCGAGAAGAATGTCCTTGCTTTTTAGGTGAGTGTAACCTCGTATTACCAACAGTACTCAACTGCATATATCGATTATCATGAACCAATTGGCTAATTACCACATCTCCATGTCCGAACAGCAGTGAAACCTCGATACTTTTTGACACAGCTGTATACTGCCTCTATACCATTTATCTCATTGTAATCGTAATCACCGGTACCTGCATCTCTTTCGATCACGATTGATTTTCTCCTGCAATGTCGGATATTCCAGACGATATCAACACGCAATTTCTCGAGCAGTGGAAAAATCCCGGCGACGTCTTCTCTGTCCTCCTTATCGTCGGCGGTGACGTTATTCTCCTCGCTCTGGCCTGTCTCACCGGTAGGACATTCACACCTATCGCTTTCTCGTTCGGTTGGGTTGCATATGCCGTTTCGGCCGTTGTAGTCGCTGTTGGCGATAACAAGCTGTTAGTTCGCTGTCCGCCAGAGATCTCGCTAAAGGTAATTAATCTGAAGAATGGATACTGTCGCGAGAACAAATCGTGGCTGCTAGGGAGATTTATCAAAGATTACAATTTCTGGATGCCTGGGGATGTCAAGGAGCGACTTCTGCGTCCGCGTGTGCGTTCTGATGAGGAAAATAGTCATGCTAAAGCTATTCCTTCGGGTTCGCCAACGGCTCAGAAGCCCATTGAATCCGCTGTGACGTTGGGTCGATCCGATACCGCGCTGTGTATTGCTGTTTTTAAATGGATTGATGGTGCAGTTCCAGGTCTGCCATCTCGTGATTGGGCCTGGTGGAGCGGTCTCCTTGTTTCACTGTTACAATTAGGTATCGCGGCGATTCCGTGGGGCCTTCACTCCAACTGGGGAATTTTTCTTGCCACTGCCATCGGAACATTACTAGCCTACCTATCCGCCTCCCTACCCCAATGGCGCCAAGAAAAATGGTCCGCGGCAACCAGAGAGAAGGATGTAGCTGTGACGATAGGCAACGGAAATAAACACGTAATAGTCATTCTGGGTGCTCAGCATGGCTTAGACATGGAAGATCTAGCTACGGGAAAAGCCCCTGATTTACTATCCACGCGTATATATACTTCTCTCCTAGCTGTCTTCTGGTTGGTACTGTTAATCACATGCTGTGGCATCAAAACAGACTCATGGTATCTGCTCGCCGTCGGCGGATTGGGTATGGCGCAAAACCTGATAGTCGCAAGCGTACCGCGGACTCCCGCAGCACTTGGTCTACCCATCGAGCTCGTTAGCAGTGGAAATGAAGATCAGATTGTTCCGGAGATTTTCGCAGAGCCGAAAGTGATGTGGACGATAATGGAATTTGAGGAAAAGCATCGCGGGCGAGGCAACGCTCTTGTGAAAGAGTTCTTTCCTGGAAAGTTGCTTGATTGGGAGGAAAAGTGGTGGAATTCTGATAATACGGATGAGAGACGAGGGCTACTCGAAGGGGCGCGGCGCAAAGCATGGAGGAAAGCACATGAAGCGGCACGAATGGAGAGGGAGAAAGGGGATAAGTAGCTCCAGAAACAGTAGAATAGAAGCAAAGATATATTTGCATGAATTCTACTTGAAAGGTGGATTCTCGTGGCGAAAGCTTCATCTCGAGTTAAGCTCAATAAATATATCCCGCTCTTGTCCAGACAAAACAATACTTAGCTCCTTTTTGAGACCGGAAAACCTAGCAACAAAATTCTGGAAACGCACTCGATCTACTGCTCAATATAAACGCACCGGATTGCATACGTCCGGAATCTCCATATTCTTCCATAATTGCATTCCCGTCTGTTACGGCTCCCGTCGAGATTAGAAAATCAAATGCCGGGCACGGCTTTGTGCCATTCCCACAAAAGCCGAGATCCTATATATGAGGATAAGACCAGGAAATCATCACCAGGAAGCCAGCTTACACTTTAAGTTTTTTTTCCAAAAAGAACTATCCTAATTATTGCAGCATCAATTCTTTCGGGGAGATTCAGATATATTCATTCAACATTGACGGGATATACTGGGATGATGGTGCATGATACTATGCTACCTTGCTTAATCTGCAGAATAAGACTTACACTGTTATTTGGTATAATCAAATATTAAATGACAGAAATAAGTGAAAGTATTTACATACACCGGATAAACAGGACACTCACTGAAAGATAATCATTCTCACACTTAACAAACGTACAAAAGTAGAAGCCCAAGAACAAGCAGAAGTCGCCCTTACATTCTCTCTATTATCTTATCGTCCTTATTTAATTTATCTCTTACCTACACTGCCTACTATTCCAAAAACATCCCCTCCCCCGCCCTACTCCTCACCCTTACCTCATTCATATGTAAACTTCAGACACACAAAATCTCAACAACCACCTATAAACAAATCCATCAAATCCTCGAAACCGAAAAACATTTTTCCCTCTCACTCATCTATTTACTCCATATCATACATACCTAGTAATTCAACATCTATTCACCCACTGACATAATCCTCAGAGTAAAAAACACACCAACCCATCAATTTTCGCTAAAGCAAAGCCCCGCCCCCTCTCTAACCCCACTTCTCATATCCACCACCCCTCACCCCCACCAAACAGAGAAAGACTTTTCATTTCATTTTCCCATCCAATTGCACATCTGGATGTTTTAATATATATCCAGTAATTACTGACGTAATTGTTAACCAATCAACAACCAGCGTTTGTGGTTTAGTGGTAAAATCCATCGTTGCCATCCATCTCTTCTCTCATCAGAAGAGTGCGATAACAACCTCGATGGGCCCCGGGTTCGATTCCCGGCGAACGCATTATTTTCGCCATGTTGTGTGCGAACTGATATTTTTTGCTTTTGTATGGAGTGAACGATGGATGAACGGCTGGCTAGCGGTGTTTCGACGTACAGTATGTGTGATCATAGTCTTCTTTTTCTTTTCCATTCATAGCTTCTATCTAACTGCCTCCCCATTTACACCGATAAATTTTGTAGAATTATATGAGATATGGACACTGAAATCTCTCTACATTCCTCTAAGTGCTTAACCAAAATTCGGACTTCCAAGAATACGCATTCTTTACAATTGATATGGACCTGGGATTAGTGAATTGCTCAAAGCACATATTATTGCCAGCATCCCCTATTGACCCGGTGGAACTGTCGAGTGCATGTAATAAGATGATAGCTCTTCAAAGACGGTAAGATATGATATTACAAACACGTGCATTCAAGAGCGATGGGACGGGTTGGACTATCTTGTGTTGTTCCGTGCTATTCTTCCAAAAATGAAGCTTATAGTGAATTATTAATCTACTCCTCGGGTTCTGTCAATCTTTCAAGGAGTAATAACGAATTTCCCGACTCCACCCTTTCCGGCAAAAATCTCTTGACAGCCTTTTCTAACACCGACAATATCCTCAAGCTTGACTTCGGAGCCTACAATTGGTCTTAGCTTCCCTTCTTTGATGAACTCCCCTAGCCTTTCCAAATCCTCCCGACTTGGTTCCATCATCAGATAGCTATAGTTTCTTCCGTTCCAGCTGGCCCACGTTCTTAAACTCCAATCCAAGACATTCATAATTTTGACCATCCACCAACTTAAGTTCACCTTGACACCTCCTTCAGATACCCCATCAGTATGGCGACTCATACGCTCGATAGTTTCGGTACCACCGGGTATCATAGAAATAGAGACTATCACGCCCCCCTTCTTAACAAGAGAACCAAGAGAAAGTGAGCATGATGTTGTGTCGAAAAGAAAATCTACGCTCTCTTTCCCTATTGTCTTTACGACATCCTCCTTCGTGTAATCTACTACTTCAATCTCTTTCCCTAACGATTCCTCTGCTCTACCAATCTTTCCAGTACTTAAAGTGGTAATGACTCTCCCAGCTCCAAAGACATTCTTGGCGAGTTGAACAGCGATACTGCCCGTTCCGCTCATACCAGCAAGAATAAGTACAGTCTTACCTTTTAGTCCGCCGGGTAACTGACTGTCTGCTCGGAGTACAGATTGATAGGCTGTCAAGGCTGCGAGTGGCACAGCGGCAGCTTGGGAATGGGATAGGGAGGATGGCTTTTGAGCTACAGCTGTAGAAGTCGAGAGGCAGTATTGTGCTTAAATAGGAAGTCAATTATATTAACTATACACTGGAGTACTTATCAAGGCTAGGAAGAAGGGGGTCCAGCGACCGGAAAACGAAGAAAAGAGACAGCACATACCAATGGTTCCACGGTGACGTTCAGGTACGCGAGAGTAGACTTCGTCACCGGGCTTGACGTGGGTGACGGAAGAACCAGTGGAGACGACAGTACCTGATACGTCGTAGCCCATCAAGTATGGGAACCTGGAAAATGTCAGAAAAAAGTAGAGATAAAGCGGAGAAAGTGAGACTCGATGCAAGATCGCCTGGAGCTGCAACAGAATTACATTCGTTCTTCTGAAGTTCATGACAATGCAGATTCTCGGAGATCTTGAAGGGTGTGAATCATTCGCAAGGCTGGATGAAATAATCATCTCGTGCGCATAAGAATATCTCAGACATAGCATGGACTATGGTTACTCGATATAGTCTCATTCTCACATTCCCGATCATAAAATTGACTTCCCTCGCACACCTATGTCACGGTAAAGAAAATACGTACTTAACATCGAACATCATTTTTGCATACCCGCCAGCCATCTTGACATCAATAGGATTGACACTAGCCGCTTCCACTTTGATCAAGATATCATTTTCATGCGTGATTTTCGGAGTTGGGATGGTTCCTATGTCGTATGTATCTGGTTTTCCAAACTTGGAGAGAGCGAGTGCACGCATTGTTGCCGGAACCTTGGTGGCGAATTTGGATTCCATCTTTGTTTAGGAATGGAGAAAGTATAGACGTAGAGTAGAGTAGGCTCAGGATAGAAAATATGAATCTCCAAAGAGGATACTGACCACAATATATACTGATATTGAAAACAGAGGGAATTAAAAGGGGACTTTTTTTCTAGGTGGAGACTACCTAGGTATTGAAGGAGAAAAGTCCGTCCGACTCGAAGACTTTTTGATATGAAGAATGACCTCGGGAGCTTTGATTGGGCGGGGCATGTGACGAACGACGGGAAAAGATCGAGAATTAGAAATCAATATCATATATAGTAGAATCACGCTGGTGATTCTTATAATATTTTATATTGTCAAGAATCCATGGATTAATGAAAAACCGAGGGAAGTTGAGTCGTAATGAGACGGAACGGGACAATTACTCTCCGAATAGTCAAAAATCACCGATTTGAGGTAACTTTCTTCCGTTATCAATATATCACAAAAGGGCGAAATACTCTGATTAGATATCACAAGATTCCAGTGAGTGTGCAAACGAGTGATGGAGGAAAATGTGTACCGGTAGGTGATAATTTTGAGTGCATACCTAGATAGGTATCAACAGCATATCGATAACATCTCAAAGTCACGTGTGACTTGACGCAACCACAATTTTGAAATTTGATGTCCTCAACCTCAAGTCTCTCTCATTCTCTGAGACTTTTGGTCTCGATAATTAACAACACTTTTTATTCTATTCGTCGTCGAATTCTCGAATCATTCTTTGACACTCTCAAACAGAAAAGGATCGAGATAAAAACTCACCCGGTAGCCACGTGCACTTCAATTGCCTAAGCAGGAGATACCCGCTACTCGTGCTAGTTATCCAACCTCTACAACTCGCAAATTCAATCCTTCTGCGCGCCCCCCTGACAATAATCTCGAGTAAAATCATGGCCCTTACTCTAAAACCAGTAGATGTTCCATCTTTCTGCTCAACTCAACTCCACCTCTTGGACCAAGAACTTCAATCCGAGCTGTCCGAAACTTCGACCCTCATAACCGGAACCTCACCTACTTCCCTTCAGCGGGCTGGTCTTGTTATTACGAATCTCATTTTGATATCTCAAAGAACGGGATTGGGTGGAAAAACCGTCGTTGAGCTGGGTCCCGATCCGGCAACTTCCAGTTCTGGCTCTGGAGCCAAAGGTAAAGCTGGTAGCGGGGGTTCGGGAGAAGGTGAATTACAAGAACATGGGATACGAGTTGGCGATATTGTGGCAGTTAGTGAACAGCCCAGCGGTAGTGCAAAGAAGAGAGAAGTCAAAGAGTTAGAGGAGAAGGGAAGTAGAGGTGTGGTGACCAAAGTAGGGAGGAGTGCGGTGTGGGTTGCGCTGGATGAAAATGGGAAGGGCGAGGAGAATGTTGGGGGTATGAAAAGATGTTGGGTGGTCAAGCTCGCAAATGATGTTACGTACAAGAGGTTTGTTTATTCTATTTTGATTTGGTCCGTTGGATTGATAGCCGATTGAGTGAGGGGAGAATAGCGTGGGTTGCTAATTGATAACTTAGAATGAATGGTACCATGGGAAAATTGGGGAAGATGCAAGAAGCGGAATATTCAAATTTCGTAAGGGTTTTATTTGGATTGTCATCACCTTCGCCAATTCCAGAAAACCTGGGGGATACAGGAATTGAGTGGCTGGATCCAAGTTTAAATGATAG